AAAACAACCAAAGGAAAGTGCAACCATAGAAAATATCAACAAAAAAGGGTACTCCCGAGGTACCGCCTCGCAGTCCCAAAAGTAAATATACAATATCAACAATGCCCCCAGGCCATCACAAATCAATCCCCGACATAGCCCACCTTGTCTCGCCNTAAGTGCTCAAATATTACAACATAGCATAGATTGCACATCAAATGCTCAAATATTACAGTTATCACAGATTGCACATCAAGTGCTCAAATATCACAACTTGCCACAAAAATCAACCATACCTTATTTTCCACAATAAGGAGCCCATGGCTCGACCATAATGTGCACAAAAATCTTAACAAAATATCCGAAAATTAACAACTCAATAAAATAATATTTTACATAAAAATCAAGGTGGTAATTATACCAAATCATCATGTAAAAATAATTTCAACAAACAAGGATCTAGGCATGACAAATAGAGAATTTAATAGATGCCAATAATTTCCCATTTAATACATAAGGGCGTCTAAAGATTTTTAACCAATGTAATTTGCACATATAACCCAAGTACGTACTCATCACCTCGCGTACATAGTTTTTAATTACACAAATTGCACATAAGACTCAATGCCTAAGGGGATAATTCCCCCACTCGAGGTTAGGCAAGATACTTACCTTTTGAAGTTAGGCCGATATTCCAAAATAGCCTTCTTGCTTGAAATGACCTCCGGACAGGTCAAATCTATCCAAATTAATTGTATAACTTCATTAAAATTTATCGGTAATAATTCCAGATAATAATACGTCGACTAAAAATTTTATTCCAGAAAGTCAACAAAAGTCAACGCGGGGCTCGTCTTTCGGAACCTGATATAATTTTCATGAAATTCGAACACCCATTCCGATACGAATTCAACCATACTAATTTTATCGAATTCCAATAACAACTCGACTTCCAAATCTTAAATTTTCGTTTTTGGAAGATTTTACAAAATTCTTGATTTTTTTCTCCATTAAATCCGAATTAAATGATGAATATAATCATAGACTCATAAAATATAATCACTTTAGGATATAGAATACTTACCCAAGTCAAAGTCTTGAAGAACTCCTCCAAAATCGCCCAAAAATCGAGCTCCAAAATCTCAATCGAAAAATGGCGAAATGACCATTTTTGGTCCTTAACATTCTGCCCAGTTTCGCACCTGCTGACGAATTTTTTGCACCTACGTGCTCGCTATTGCGAGCAAAGATCTCGCTTCTGCGAAGGCCACTGCCAGTCGATCATCGCATTTGCGGAAGTTTTTCCGCTTCTGCGGGAATCGCTTCTGTGATGTCTCACGCGCACCTCTGATGCACTTCCGCTTCTGCACCTTCTCTGCCCGCTTTCGCAGGTGCGGGATTTTCTTCGCACCTGCGACCACTGTCGTGCCCTTCCATCTTCGCTTCTGTGAGGTCGCACCTGCGCCCAAAATTCTGCAGGTGCGAATCCAACAGTTGCTGCCATTTTCCAGCAGCTTCTTCCAAGTTCGAATTGCTCCGTTAACCTTCCGAAATCCACCCGAAGCCCCCGGGACCTTAACTAATTATACCAATATGTCCCAAAATACAATACGAACTTAGTCGAGGCTTCAAATCACATCAAACAATGCCGGAATTACGTATCGCGCGTCGAATCGAATTATAAGTTTTCAAATCTTTCAACTTCTATATTTTGCGCCGAAACATATCAAAACAATCCGGAATGACTTCAAAGTTTGCACACAAGTCATAATTGACGTAAGGGAGCAATTCCCATTTTCGGAATCGAAATTCGTCCTCGTTATCAAAAAATTCACCCTTCGGCCGGACTTTTCCAAAATCTTATATTTTCCAACTTTTGCCAAAATATGCCGAATTGTCCTACGGACTTCCAAATCCAAATCCGAACATACACCTAAGTCCGAAATCATCATACGAAACTATTTCCATCATCGAAATTCCATTCCGGGTTCGTTTGCTCAAAAGTCAACTCCCCGGTCAACTCTTTTCATTTAAGCTTCAAAATGAGAATATTTTTTTTAAATTAAATCCGAATCTTTCGAAAACCAAACTCGTCCACACACGCGGGTCATAATACATATTGTGACGTTTCTCGAGGCCTTAAGTCAGTGGAAGCTTCTCGGGTCATAATACACATATTGAGTATGCTAATATAAAAAGGTAAGATTATCTTGACTTGTCTTATTTCATATTTAGTCCCACCATATTATAATTAAGCACGTCGGTGAATGTACAATATCCACGTGTAAAAATTTTCATCACACCCTATTTGCACTCTTCTATCTAACTGGAACCAACTTATGTAAATGTTTTCAACTTGTACCCGATTTGAGAAAACTTCAGACACTGTCTCCTCCTACTCTTCTTCTCCTTTCTTCTTCCTTTTTTTCCCTTCATCCTCATAGTGGCAATAGTTTTAGCCCAATATCTTAAATGTTTCTTCATATAAAAAGTTGCAAAAATTCTTGGTACCCTTAGAGTAATATTTTGTTTAAAGTTTGTGTGCGCTAGTGCGAACTTTAGATTAATTTGTCAGAAGAATAAGAATAAGATAATAATGAAGTTTGTGAAGAAGAAGATAATGAAGATTCAGACAAATTTTGTTTGAAATTTGTGTGCGCTAGTGCGAACTTCAGACTAATTTATCAGCAGTTCGCACTATGGCTAAAGAACTTCAGACCGGAAGTTTGCACTTCAACAGACTAATTTTAGACTCAATTGTTATGACATTTACATTGTGACGAACCCATGATGAAATTTATAACCTCAAACGAATTTGTTCGAAGTTTGTGCTATGACGGAAGAACTTCAGACCCGATTTATCTGAAGTTTGCACTTTGGTAACTTAAGATGCCAATTTTTAAAACTTCAGACGTATATATCTGAAGTATGTTTCGAAGTGGATAAATTTTTTAATTTTATGCAACGCGGGTACAACTTCAATATTGTCCCAAAATCGAATATGTTTGCACTTCTCTCCATCCACATTGGGGTGTAGGGGTGTCCATTACTTTCCAACCAGTACTCGTGAGCTTAGAAGTACTTTGCAGTGACTAACTTAAAACTTTAAACTTCGACCAAGCTTAGGTCTCATTTGTTTTTTTAAGATTAAGACGTTTGAATCTGAATATCAAGATGTGTATTAAGATTAAGACATCTGGATCTGAATACACATCTGAATATATTAAGATGTGTATTAAGATCTGAATACTAAAATTAAGATTGTTTGATTTTTAACATCTGAATGTATAAAATTTATCTTTATTTAAAAATTAATAAACATAAAATTCAAATGAAATACTAACTAATCTAATATTCTATCAGTAAAATATATAGTTTTAAAAAATATGATAGTTGTTGGTGGTGATGGCTAACAAGTGAATGCCGACTAGAGGCGATGGTTGGTGGTAGTTTTGGTTGATAATGGCGGTTTATGCTAGTAGCTAGTAGTGATTAGTAGTGAAAGCGATTATGATTGAGGATGGTAGTGATGGGTGGTGATAGTTAATAATGGCGGGTGATAGTAGTAATTGTGATTGAGGAAGGTGGTGGGCAGGTGGTGGTAGGTTATAATGATGGGCGGTGCCGGCTGTGGTTGTTGATGGTGATGGGGTGGTTAGTTGTGGTAGTTGAGGTGGATGAGTGTTGATTGTGGGTGAGAATGATGGTGGTTGGAGTGGTGGGGATAGTGAGTGGTGATGGTCGATAATTGTGGCGGCTATGATTGAGGATGGTGGTGTGGTGGTGGTGGTGGTTGAGTATGGTGGTGCCGACAGCATGGTGGTAGTTAATGATAGCCGGTGGCGGAAGTTAATAATGAATATGTGATAGCATCTTAATGAAATTAAGTCTCTGTTATAGATCTTAATCATACAGACCTATTCAGACCCATTAAGTGGTTGTGAAGTAAAAAAACAAACACACTTAATGATTAAGATATGAATAATTAAGATTCAGACTTTAAAAATAAACGTACTTAACGTCTGAGATATGAATGATTAAGATTAAGACATCCATTAAGTGCAAACAAATGAGGCCTTAGTAAAGAGCGCTCTAATGGACTCTGTACTTCCCGAACGATAATTAATGTTGAATGGATTGTCATATAGACTATCCAGATTGGAGTTGAGATTAAAAGTTTTGTTTTTAAAATTAAAACGATAATTAGATGTATAAACCAATTAACCAAAAAACTTAGAGGAGATAAATTAAGAGATGCTACATTTGCTAGACCTCAGTTATTTCGGGCTCATCTTGTTATTTCCCAGCCTAGCAAGCAGGGAGAAATTCAAAAATAGTCAGATTTATAAGTGATCATTCAAAAATAGCCATCGTTTTAAAAGTAATAGAAATTTAGCCACTTTTCATATAAAGATAAATTTGAGCGAAAACACTGTTCAAAATTCGAAAAATACCCCATTATATTATACTGAAATTCCAGCATAAGTATACTGGAACTCCAGTATATTTATACTGGAGTTCCAACATAAGTTTACTGGAACTCCAACATATTATACTGGAGTTCTAGCATAAGTATACTTGACTTCCAGTATAATATACCGGTCCAACATAATATGCTGGAAGTTCATACACACGTGCACCGATCTCCAGTATATTATGTTGGAACTTTTCGTATTGCTGCAAAATAGTGGCTATTTTTTAATGACTTTGCAAATACTGACTATTTTTGGATGATCAGTCCGAAAACTGATTAGCTTGTGCTATTTTTACGGCAAGCGCCCTGAGCCCAGCCCAAATTACCCAGTCCAATTGAGAGAAAATGGAGACTGTGATTCTCTCTCTTGAACTTAAGTTCAGACCCAACTGTATGGGCCCTAAGCCCATCACAGGTTTGTCACTTCCAGTCCAGGTGTCAAGAAGAGGTTGGTAAGTCACGTGCCCCTACACGTATCTAAAGCAAAAAACAAATGCAAATATCACCACCAAGTACACGATAGCCAATATACGTTTTCAAAGTCTTAACTGACTCCCATCCCTTCGGCGCACTTTAGCAACCCCCCTCCCAATACCACCGTTCATATCTGTTTCTTTTTACTTTTTTTTTTCCATGTGTGAACGGCCTTTCTCCATAAAACTCTCTACCCCTTTGCCCCCTCTCCTCTCTTCTCTCTGTAACATTAGGGTTAGGGTTTTAAAGCCCACCGCTAATTCCACACTCTCTTTCTTCTTCCCTTTGTTTCTCTCGTCTGTAGCAGTAGGGTTAGGGTTTTCTCAATTCGTGAATTTTCTGTTATCAAATTGTGTATGACCTATCAATCAATGCCTCGGAATCTACATATCAAACTGTGTGGACAAGTGGGTGGTTTTGGTTCCTTTACGTTCAGGAATCCATTGAGAATTTGCTCCTTCGCTGCTTTGATTGGTTAGCTTTCTATGGCGCCCAGTCGAAGAAAAGGTACAAGTAAAGCAGCGGCTGCCGCTGCCGCTTGCCGTCAGTGGAAAGTCGGTGATCTTGTGCTTGCTAAGGTTAAAGGCTTTCCGGCATGGCCTGCTACGGTATGTGAATGTTTTTCTCCTTTTCTACTTTCCTTTTTATTTTCCCTTACTTTTGTGGGTAGGCACTTTTGGTATTTGTTGTTCTTTCTTTATTTTCATGAGATTAGTGCTTGGGTCTCTTTATAACAGTTGTGAGTCGTGGATCTGATGGTTTTATAAAAAAATTGCACATTTTGTTACTAGATTAGGGCCTTCAAGCTATGGAAAATGCGAAAACACTGTAGTTAAAAATGGTAAAAATGAGGTTTACATCCCAGCAGAGGCAAAAAATATTAATTGATTTGTTCCTATACACCTAAGCATTGGTGGACGGAGTTACGTGGTACCTGTGTTTGTGGGAGATAGTAGGTTCAGTGCAATGTCTAGGTTCGTGCAAGCTGGCACATACACCACCTTCATCAAAAGGAAGTCTTGGGTTGAAATTTTGTGAGTTCAGTATTTGGCCGTATGCTTAGTTTATCATGTTGATATTCTCTTAACCAGAAGTTAAATATCCCATAAAATTTGATTCGCCTTTTCTTGTTTAACTCTGATTCATGATATTGGCTTGTATATCACACTATTGGAGTCGGAAGCTTGAATTTGAGTTTATCTTGTAATTTCCTTGGCAATATTTGTGCCTTTTTTGGGATCAGTAACTGGTATTCTGTGGAAATTTTGTATTATTCTATCTTTTTATAAATTATGCGGAGAGATATTTCTTTGAAATTATATGTCTGTCGAATCAGTTTGGGGTAAAAATATTTGCTGAATTATCCCCTTTGCGGTCTGTTCTAGCCAGACAGCACCGATAAATGTTACTTCCTCCACCCCGTTTTGTGTCTTAGTTTGACGTGGTAGGAAGTTTAAGAATGTAAAGAAGATTTTTGAATTTTGTAGCCTAAAGCCAAAGGTGTGTATAACATACCAGAAGTACCTTTTGAATCTTGTAGTCTTAATTGTGTCATGTCATTCCTATAAGTGTGTCATTAAGGTTAAATGGGAATGTAAGAATAAAAAATTTACTGATTTTAGAAATGTGACAGCCTTTTTGAAAGTAAGATACATAAATTGAATCGGAGGGGGATTATGTTTTCTGTTCCTCCTTTTTATTCCTCTTTCTGCGGTTTGAATGAAAAATTCAGAACAATTCAGAGCAGAAAAAGGATCAAGAAATAAGTTTGCCTAGTTTGTCAAGTTTGATGGGCTCAACTAAAAAATCATAAAGTTATTTTTGAATTAAAAAGATAAGTATTGTTTTCATCAAAATCTCCTCTATTAGTCATATCTAATAACTATCTAATCTAAAATCTCAAGTCTTTCAAGTAAAGTGAGTTTCATTGGTAGTTAGATTGGCATTAGAGCTCCATGAGGATTTAGACAGCTTTGCTAAATTGAATTTTAGCTAGAATATCTTTCTATTGGGATCTCTGGAATGATTATAGCAACAGAAAGCTCCTTTTGATGTGAAAATATACATTTATTTGAACCACCAGTTTATGATGCATTGGCTGATGTACATGTGAAGATCTTGTAAGATGATGTCTGACATGATGTGTCAAAAGCAGGGGAGCAGGGAACTTGAAATAGGTGATAACTGTGAACTCCATTATTCCCAATAAATTGAGCCCCTTTTCAAACTCGAGGACCAAAAAGTAAAAAAACTTTTTCACTATGAGGAACAACTTTTGTTACCTCATATCAACGAAGAAACTGAAATAGGTGATAATTGTGAACTCCATTATTCCCTATAAATTGAGCCCCTTTTCAAACTCGAGGACCAAAAAGTAAAAAAACTTATGTAATGCTAAGTCGTAGGGGTTTGAAGTTGTTCCTCATGGTGAAAAATAGCATGCCTCATTGGAGATACGGTACACTTTTCCCCTCAGCTTAGCCTCTAAAACATTGAATCAGAGGTAGTACATATGCTTGTGTAGACACTAAATCTCTACAAGCAAAATTAGGATGAATATTTATTAGACTCATTGAGTGAAGTAGCGAGTGTAGGAGAATGTCGACCATTCGTTGTTCAAGGCATTTTTGAGGCTTGAATACGCCCTGTAGTTTGGTGAAAAGCAGGCGGTGTTTTGCCTCGTTTAGGTGTCATTTTTGTGTACACGCTACGACGCATGTAGAGTCTGTCTTTCCAAATTGTCACCGAACACTTAAGTGTGATTAGCAAACGGTACTATAATGGTTGAGAAAATGTTATCGATGAACATTTTTGGTATCGAGAGTGGGAAATTGAAATATGGCATAAGAAAATTGGCAATTGGTTTTTGAATGTGAACTTAAATTTTCATTTTTGCATCTGAATAATTAAAGTTAGAAAGTTTTTAAGCTTGATTGATGTAATTTTTACTTTATGTATATTATGTAAGTCGTGGTCGGTGAAGTTATCCGAATTTGTGTTGGTAAATTATAACAGGTATATGGTGGAGGTGCCACAAGGTGCCCCAAATGCCACTGTTATTGCAAATAAAAACTAATCTCCTAGTTACTTAACTAAAAGGTGCTTGTGATGTCGCTACGCAGATTTTTTTTTAATCTTTGACAACATTACTATGTCATAGAATATTCTTTTTAACAGGTTACTGTAGTATGGTACATCATAGAGGTTACTCATCTTTGTGCAGTTAATCGTCTAAAATAGTCAAGTGGGTTGTGTACATTGTCATCTGGAGACATATTAGCTCACTAGTAGTTTCCCATATTGATTGGTCTATGCTTTGAAAATAAAACTCCGATCTAAAATTTACCTGATAAGTATTGCTAAAACTTAAAAAGTATCTTGTAAAACTTTTATGTGAGTTTGGTTATGTACGGAGCAATGTTATCAAAGGCGTGCTTAATGCGCGCTTAAGCCCTGAAGAGCGAGGCTCAAAACATGTTGAGCGCTTCGCCTCGCTTTGTAGGCACTTTAGTATCGCATCAAGGCTCTAAGGCATACTTTTCCTTGCCAATGAGTGTAAAGGCGACATTAAACAATTGATATTTCACTTTATCGTAATTTTTTTCAATTTCTTTGTCCATAAATGTTATTCATGCTTATAATTATTAGTCTTGGACTACATATACATATTTTTTCTTTTTCTCCGGTTGCGCCTTTTTTCATTAAAGTCCACGCTTTATTTGCGCTTAAAGCCCCAACGGACCTTAAAGCTTTTTTGCGCTTTTCGCCTTTGATAACACTGGTACGGAGTTTAAGAAAGAAAAGAAAAGTTACAAGTTTTAAAACTTGTGGTCTTTAATATGCCATAACTTGTGGTCTTAAGGATACTTTAACGTTTGTTTAGCTCAACAACATTTCATTAAGGTAAAATGAGAAGTTTAAAGTTAACCTATTTTTAAATATAGAAATATGTTGTTTTTATTAAACAACGTGGAAGTGAAGCTCGACTCACAAGTCATCCCCAAGAGAGAGTTACAAGTACCTAGGGTCAATTATCTAGGGAGATGGGGAGATGGACGAGGATGTCACACACCGTATTGGGGTGGGGTGGATGAAATGGCGGTTTGCGTTTGGAGTTATGTGTGACAAGAATGTGCCACCGAAACTCAAAGGTAAGTTCTACAGAGCGGTGGTTAGACCGACCATGTTGTATGTGGCTGAGTGTTGGCCAGTTAAGAATTCACATATCCAGAAGATGAAAGTAGCTGAAATGAGGATGTTGAGATGAATGTGCGGGCGTACTAGAATGGATAAGATTAGGAATGAAGATATTTGGGAGCGGGTGGGCGTTGCTCCCGTGGACGACAAGATGCGGGAAGCGAGACTTTGATGGTTCGGGCACGTGCGGATTAGAAGCCTAGATGCCCAGGTTAGAAGGTGCGAGCGGTTGGCTTTGGCAAGTACGAGAAGAGGTAGAGGGCGGCGTAAGAAGTATTGGGGCAAGGTGATCAGGCAGGGCACGACGCGGCTTCAGATTTCCGAGGACATGTCTCTTGATAGGGACGTGTGGAGGTCGAGCATTAGGGTTGTAGGCTAGGGGGTAGTCGAGCGTTTTTCCCTCTTTTTACCGGGTAGTCTGATATAGTTTTGTCTAGGTCTGTTAGCGGCCTATGTTGTGTTCACACTATTTTTTTGTTTCGCATAGTATTGTGTTATTGCCCTTCCACTTATTTGCTGTCTCTTACGACGTTATTATTTTTCTGGCTTCTTTTGTTGTTATGGACCTATTCTTTTGCTTCTTTTATGATATTATTGGCTCTTCTGTTGAGCCGAGGGTCTTCCGGAAACAACCTCTCTACCGTTCAAGGGTAGGGGTAAAATCTACGTACACTCTACCCTCCCCAAATCCCTGGGTGTGTTGTTGTTGTTGTTGTTGTAAACTAAACTAATAAGGAAATAGTTTCACATGAACTGGAGCTAGGGAGTATTTAGTAATAACAAAAGTATGTTTGACACAATAGTTTTTGGGCGTAATTGTGCTTTTAACAGCAATGCTTGTATGCACACTTTTAGTAAGTGTAAAATATCGTAATTACCCCTCAAACAAAAGGGGGAAAAGAAAAGAAAAGAAAGAAAAAACTGCACAACCATCATGTTAATTTGTTTTCTTTTTTTGATAACGGTGGTACCTGGCCATCTAGCGCACACCTCAACTATTCCACCTAGTAATGCTGCCTTCTACTAGTACATGTATTGAGTAACTCTGGCCACTAAGGCTTAGGTAGATTAAAAGAAATCACCTAATGTTTTATGTCTCTTCTCAGTCTCCACTTGGAATGATCCTTTATTTTCAAGGTATACACCTACTTGGTTGGCCACTAGGCCACACCGTTGGGAGTGCTGCCATCAAATAAGTTTAACAAGCACATATAGTGGGCTATCTAGTGAAAGACAGTCTATTTATGGAAAAGTCTGTTTATTCATTGGTTTATTTTACCTTTTTCTTTTATTTTGTTTTTATAAATTGCAACTTAAACTCTAAGAAACATTTCAAAGCCAGAGGACTAGATAGTCAAGAGGTTACCTTTAATATTACTAGCAACATCTGTTAGTGTATACCTTCTAGCAATAACTGGACTGTCTTGTAAGTAATGCAGGAATTAATATCCTTTGTTGTACGAATATCATTGATTAAGCTCAACTTATGAGCTTTTTCTGTAAGACATATGTAACGAATAATTTTGTCCTTACATTTTCTCTTGACGTTGCAAACAGACTAGTTAATGTTCTGTTTAGTAAGTTCACGGGTTTGAACCCTGCCATAGACAGAAGCTCGGTATTTATTGGAGAAGGATAGAGGGCGGGCCCATAATCCACTGAGTTTCTATCCGTGTGCCCTGGCCTTGGTGATTTCTCAGTTATAAAAGACCTCTGTTTAATAAGTTACTTATCCAAAGAAGTGTTCTTTTATTAGATTCATCTTCCTCTAATTATGTGTTTTCACATGATGGCCGGAAGCACCTTGCCGCTTTCTATCTCTTTTCTTTGCCCGTCATTTGACTAACAGATGTGAGAACGGGAAGAAGAAGCCTAAACATGCTTTTGTTGCTTATGACAGGTGAGTGAGCCAGAGAAGTGGGGTTACTCGAGAGACCGGAAGAAAGTGTTAGTTTACTTTTTTGGAACCCAACAAATGTGAGTGCTCTATTTCTTTACCGTGACATGTTATTTTTTCTTCTAATCCTTGGTCACTTCTGTGTGGTTGAACCTCTTTCATCTACTAACTTGATTGAATGAAGTTGTCTCCTTGCTAAGATTTCTTTTTTAATCAAGTCTCCTTGCTTAGGTTTCTTAGCAGTATTATCTATGTTTTTTGGTAAGATAGTGATCATCACTAGATGCATTCACTGTTGAAGCACACTTAGAATTAAGAATATACACCTTGAAATTAAGAAAAATAATGTTTTGAGGATGTCTACTGTATGTCAGGAATTCGAGGATGGTATTATCTTAATATGTTAGGAGATGATAGTTTTTACCGACAATAATCTAACTCTATTTTTAGCTAAGGAGCTTGAATAAAACTGAGGTTTTTCGACGACTATCCCCATTTTTTTACCATATGAAAGTAATAGCATATGCTTCTTTTATATTCCTTTACAATTAGAGCAGTGTTGCCTGTTAATTCTGGTTTGTCTGAAAACTTTGCATGTGTGACATCATTTATTTTCTAGTCTTCGATTCCATGGCTTTGATATTTGGTAATTATTTTCTGAATTCAGAGCCTTCTGCAATCCTGTGGATGTCGAAGCATTTACCGAAGAGAAGAAACAATCTCTTTTTGTTAAACGCCGTGGAAAAGGTGCTGATTTTGTTCGTGCTGTGAATGAGATTATTGATTGCTTTGAGAAGCTGAAAAAGGAGCAACCTGTCAACTGTAATTCTACCAATGAAGCTGCTGTTAGGAGTGACACCATAGTTGTTGAATTGACCAAAACTCATTTGGAGGGTGAAGCTCTTAACACGCTTGAATCTTCTTCAAAAGAGAACCTTGGATATGAAAGTGAACCAGACTCTGAAAATGAGGTTGGTGCAGTTGCTGCAAAGGACGAGGACGCTGCCTCCCAGGATGGTGAAATGCTGTCAGTTGATCCTACTTCAAATGTGGAGGTAATGGATATGCCAGCTGCAAAGACTTATTCTACCCGGAGGAAAACTGTTGGTGAAAGGTTAAGAAATGGTGATATAGAGAGAAGGGCTCCACCTAAACGTAGGTTGAGAAGTTCTTTGAGAACCGATCCTGAAATACTACAAAATCGTGCATTGCCCTCTTTCCATGCAGGATATGGTGCTAATACAGTAAGGGATAGATCTGCGAGGAGGAACAAAATGGATGAAAAGCCATCAAATTGTTTAGATAGGAACGATATGGAACAACCTGCTTTTGTTTCTAATGGCAGCATGGAAGAGAGTGATTCTGAAATTGCTACTGTTGACTCTGGCAGCTTGAGCTTAAATGAAGGCAGCAGTGTGGAATCTGGTTGTAAACCTGTGTATAGGTGTGCTGTGCAATGTGAATCGGAGGTTGAGTTGAGTCAGAGACTTGAGTTCCAAAGTAGTGCCGTAATACTCAAGAAGAAACGGAAGCCAAACAGAAAGAGACTGCACACAGATTTAACCGAGTCCACTGCTGGTTTAGACAAAGAAACAGCTCCTGAGACACTGGCGACTAGAACTGCACATGTCTTGCCAAGTGACCCTGTGAGATCTGATGAAAAAAATTCCAAGGAATTGAAAGAAGATGGTGATGAGCACTTACCGCCGCTTAAGAGAGCCAGGGCGCGTATGGGTAGATCAGCACCTGAAGGGGAGGTGTTAGATAATGAGGTGCGGAGTGAGGCGAAATCGCCAGGAGCTTCTGACAAGTCTTCGGAACAGGTACCTGGGGGAGATGGTTTTTTCCTTCAGACCTCTAATTCTGTTAAAAGTGATGCATATGATTCATCCCCGTCTAAGAAATGTTCTCCAAAGAGACCACCATTCTGGGAAATTCGGAAACAGTTTGGTGGTTCGCTGGATGGTGAATCTGCTTTACCTCCATCAAAACGGCTTCATCGTGCCTTGGAGGCTATGTCAGCTTATGCTGCAGATGATGATAAAAAAGATGTGGATGGGCTTTGTGGAATGAAGACTTCTATGAATGGATGTTGCTCGAGTTCCAAGGAGGTTTACTCTGAGCTGTCTGAAGGGATTAAAGTTGAGAATAACTCTGAGCTGTCTGAAGGAATAATACCAGGGCTTTGTGCTGTACATGAAGATGCTACTCAATTTATGGTGAGTGCTAAAGCATTGGTAGCTGGGGAAGGCTTGGAACATTTATCAGAGGTGCCAGCTATTATTACACCTTTAGGTTTGGATGACAGCGCAGCAAAGATGTCCTGTGAAGATAAATGTGAAGTCTTGGACGCTGCTATACGGACACCTGAAAGAGTGAAGTCATCAAATGACTGCCCTTCTAGCGCTTTTCTTGCACATTCTGCTGGTGCCAAGTCAGATAGTGAGTTGCAGGATACCTTCAAATGTCAACATTCTTCACCAGGGCCAGTCATGCCATCTGATGAAAATTGTGAAAATGAAGATGCTGAGTTAGAAAGACATTTAGAAGATCCAATTTCTGAAGTTTCAGGGAAATCTGCTGATTGTGGATCTAATGATGAGGTAATAACAAGTTCACCGGGAAAAGGTGACATTATGGGTTTGGGTAGTGCGGAGGCTGAATGTGGTAAAAATAACAGTTTATGCCAAGTTTCATTAGATGGGTGCAGTCAAGACAATGAAGAGTAAGTTATTTTCCTATTTTCCCATCATAGATTATTAATCTCTGTCATTCCATCTCAATTTTGTTTTTATTAATTCCCATCTTATTTGCTCATGGTCCCTAATCTGTTGAACCTGGTGTTTTCAGGTCAAGCCTACATTTCTTTTTTCGTATCTCCTTTTCTGTTCCTACATCCACTGGTTTTGTGTTCATTTTGTCTTATATGCCTCATATTAGGTCCATGAATATGAAAGAAGCTGGATCAGCATCAAAGAATATAAGTGCGACCTCGTCTTCAAGTCCTGAAAAAGTTGGGGACGTGTCACTCAAGGAGTTGCACATGTCTGGTTTGAGCTCTGTATCTGATGATCAGTTGGGCGATAAAGCTGTCTCAGCCACCCTTTCGTCATCCTCTCTTACTGATGGGATGGACTCCTTTGCTAGGGTATCTACACCCAATACTTTAACTTGCAACATGTCTACTGTAGATAGTAGTGTGTATGTAAGTAATGGATGCTCTAGTCCCTTGTCTCATCAGCTACATGACAAGCCAAGGACTGTTGGAAAATTGAGCAGCAGAGGAGAAGCCAATGTTGCTTTAGGTTCCTTTGAGGCCACTCTTGGGATACTAACAAGGACAAAAGAAAGCATTGGTCGAGCTACACGCGTTGCTTTAGACTGTGCTAAATTTGGTTTTGCTTCTAAGGTAGAGTTACATGCTTTTCGTCACAACTTTTGTTTGTAATAGTTTGTTAGGGTGTGTTATCTGATGTGCTGAATCTTCTTGATTTGTTCCCTCTTTTTCCCTGTACTGCTTCTTATAACTGTCTGTAGCTCAGATGAATAAAAATGGTGTCTTTCCTTGAACCGACCCTTGTCTGCTTTCGCAAGCCCGTTAGAATGTGTCTGTTCCCTATGTTTTGGGCAGTTTACAAGTTGTCAGCTTGTTTGTTTAGTGTCTATCTGGCTTTCTGCTTGATTCACCAGGTGAGGAAAAAGGTGGTCTGACGGAAAAGAAATTTTGTTGCTTGGTTGTTTATCTTCTGCTAGAAAGAGTGTTATTGATATGAATTTGCTAAGCTCTGATCCTGTCCATTTATTGTGTTAGTTATGAGCTGTCAGGTCACCTCCTCAGTATGCAAAACAAATAATTTTGTTCTATTCTTTCTAAGAGACTAGGAGGTCTATGTTTATTCCCTTCAAGGAGGGGAGGTGATGTTTATGCAGTAACAATGAGGACTGAGAGGAGGTTGTTTATGCAGTTAAGAGGATTGTATGGTATTTATTCGACGACCATTTATGTTGTTCTTTTGCTGGCTGAAGTTTGATTGATATAGATGTTTAAGGTGATTCAAGTGTAATAAATGATATACTGTATAGACAGAATTTGAGAAATGCAATCAAAAGCTTTAAATGTGTCCTTTCTGAGAAATAAACTAAAATCTACTGGTACTGTAAGGTGAGGATAATCCTGAACCTGGGTAACATTTGTATCCTGCGTTTTCCTGCAAATATTGAACTAATTTGGATTCCTAGATGTATGTTCCATGTAATTTCCTAGTTTTAACTAAGGTTAATTGCTTTTTTTTCTTTCACCTTGACGTAAGTTGTCAGAATAGGGGATTTTCGGTTTTGATGCCCTAAGTTTAGCTGTATTTAATCAAGTCCTTACCTCTTCCCCCCTGTCCTGGAAAAAAGGGAAATAGAATTTGGAATTTGAAGTTTTGAGTTTTTATTTCCAGGGATTGGGAAATTTTGGAATTTGTATCTTTTATTTCCTAATATGCATGGTTGTCCTGTTTCATGAAGTTAATCTAACTCTTTCTTTTGGCATTGAATGGACTCAGGTTGTGGAGATCATTGCGCAAAACTTAGAAAATGAATCAAGCTTACATAAAAAGGTGGATCTTTTCTTTCTTGTTGATTCTATTGCACAGTTTTCCAGAGGATTGAAAGGTAATTATATGAGTATTTTCTGCTTGTGGTATTGCACTTGTATGCTTCATTTCTTCCTGGTAGGCTGTTATTCCCTGCTTGTATTTGTAATTGTAGGTCACATTGGTGGCATATATCCTTCCGCCATTCAGGGAGTATTGCCACGTCTAGTAGTAGCAGCTGCTCCTCCTGGAAGTAGTTCTCAGGAAAATCGAAGGCAGTGTTTGAAAGTAAGAGAAACATTTCCTTTTTTATTCCTTTTTTTTTGCACGCCCAAATTTCAACGTTGGGTCAAACATAGATCTCATTGTCTTACTTGTTTCTTGATAGGTTTTGAGAGTTTGGCAGGAAAGGAAGATTCTTCCAGAATCTGTTATTCGACCCCACATACGAGAACTTGAATCCTTTTGTGGTTTATCATCGAGTCGTGCATTCTCTCGACGTCCCACGAGGACAGAAAGGACAGAAAGATCTTTTGATGATCCAATTAGACAAATGGAGGGTATGCTGGTTGATGAATATGGAAGGTAAGTTATTTAGTACCCTTTGAAGATGCTATTGGTAAAAGTAAAAGAAGATACTTTATGTTTTCGGATTTTTCCCCCTTGAGATGTCTGGAATCGTTGTATTGAACTTTATTGTATTTCTTCAGCAATTCAAGTTTTCAACTTCCTGGTTTTCGTATGCCTGCAATGCTCAAGGATGAAGAAGTAAGTGATTCTGATGGTGAGAGTTTTGAGGCTGTCACTCCAGAACACCCTGCTGGAAAACCCAACGGAGAGGAGGCCAACCTGGCTATTGAGAAGCGCAAACATATCCTGGAAGATGTTGATGGTGAACTTGAAATGGAAGATGTGTCTCCAGTGTGTGAAGGCGAAACTGCTTCTGTCAGTTACAGTGTCGGAACAAATCCTGCTCAGATTTCACGTCCTGGTGATGGGAGCTGTCTTGGAGCCCCCTTCCATCCTCCACTTCCGAGGGATGGCCCCCCCTCATCTCCTCCTTTGCCAACTTCCCCTCCACCTCCACCACCTCTGGCCTCAGTTGCGCCTGCACTATCTTCTTTTCCTCCACCATCTTCTAAATCGAATTCCAATCCCGGTTGTGCTCAGTCAAAGTATTCTGTGGGTTCACAGGTACATTTGTTTTGGTCCTTTCTTTGGTTATGAATAATTTTCTTGTGAATCCGTATTGTTTAGATCAAGCTAGTGTGTTGTAGATGTAGGAATCTGATTGAATGTTCATGGTCTGCAGAACATTAAAGACAACTTGCAGGAAACTGTTTTTCAGCAGTGTGAAGCTCCACAAATTCATCCGATAGTCCCAGATGCTATTCATTGTCAACCCTCTGATGGCAGAGAGCTTCATGCCGAGGGACCGTTGAAGGTGCTCGACTCTGCTAGTTCACGTCCTTCCAGCAATGGAGCTGTTTCCCATCCACCATTCTGCTTGTCAAATGGAGTACAGCCACCTGATGGGGCTTCTAGCAAGGGTTTCCATTTGCGCCCACCTCACCCCGCTCCTTCAAATCAGTTCTCTTATGTTCAGGCTGATCAGCGGAGGGATACAGCAACCCCTTATTCCAATGTATTCCATATGCAGAATGCAGATAATAGAAGTTTTTCGAGGGATCATAATAGAATGAAGTCAGATCGACGTGAAATTGGAGAGAGCTGGATGACACCATCCCATTATTCTGGTAAGGCCTTTGCCACCATGCAATGAATGCCGAGTATTTGAATTGTCTTTATTTCCTCTGGTTTCACTGTTGCTTGTCTCTTTCAGGTCCATGCTACCCAGATGGCTCCAGAGGTCGCTATGCGGCTGAACCATACCCTGTACCACACGAACCACCTTTACCAAGCCACAGGTGGGGTTACCCTCCCCGGGGTATGAATCGGAGGGAATTCTTTACTCACAGACCGCCACCTGACCGCACGATTCCGGTTACCTCTAGAGGTTGAATACTTTTATCCATGTGGAAACTACATATACCATTGCGTTATTTCCAATGTACTACTGTCATCTGATCTTGGTAAACATGTGCTATGCTGTTTTGAAGTTTAATTTTTCTCCAAACCTGCCACTGGAACTGTGAGCCACTTTTAAGTTGGTAGATGGGGCATCGGGGTTCATAACTTGCACGCTGCATCAATTTTCTCTTTGAAGCTTTGGCAGAAACTTAACAGGAAGTCTTTATTCTAACTACTGATGTGCAGTGGTCGATTAAGCTGCAGGCCTTGATTTTACACCTGCTAAAGTACTTTCTTTACTACATTTGCAGTCAAATAGCCAAAAAACCCATTTACAGTGTAGCTTACTGATAAAGTAGGTAGGGTGAAGTTGATGGTGAAAACACGAACATATAAGCATTTAAGTGGCCCGAAGTAGCATATGACCTTTCTCTGTGGGAATTGAACAATAATAAACAAGTGAAGGTTCTGACCAAAGAGAAGTGTCAGGGGTGGTGTCAATTTATTGTTTTTTTGTTTTTTTAATTTATTTTCAATGCAGTAAACAACAAGATTTTCTTCTTCTAAAGAAATATTTATGCAAAACTTAGTCGCTTTTGCTGTGCAGGTCCTGGCTTTTGGAGACCAAGATGATGACCCAAGAGAGGAAGCTATAGCTGCTGGTACTGCTACTTTGCTGACAAATTTAACAGTTTAGGCAGTGGTTTCATGTCATTTTTTCAGGCATTCAATTCTTATACCTCACCTGTTCTTGCAGGTAGTGCGGCTTGTTTATACTAATCCGAGAGTAGTTTGTACGCTGAGGTGCGCTGAAGCAGAGAACAGCAAGTTCATGCTTGTATATATGTATTTTAGAGTTCTTTTGCAACTGCACAGGGGATAGTCCATTGTCTAAAGAGCTCTGTAGCATATTCCTAGGTAGCTAAGTTTTGTATATTTATTATATTGTGTTTTTGTTTCTTTTTTAATCGGTATATGGTCTCTCCTCTCTTAGTCTCTTGTTAGAGATTTGTCAACATCATTTTGGCAATTGTTAGGGCATTTCAGGCTACCCCTCATTATGTGCACGGTGTACCCATTGTTATAGCAGTTTGGTACTCTGTTTTGAACAAATGTTATACCAATACCACACCGAAAAATTCGGCATGGTTCGGTTTCACCTTTTGGTTTGGGTTTATGCGGTTTGGTTATTTTGGTATTACTCTTGAAAGTTGGTATACTTTACAATCAAATTTAGAGTAGATAATTAAAACTTGTGATAGTGATTCATAAAATTAATTTTTGAATTAAATCAAGCAAAAAAGAAAAGGAAAACAGAAAGTGGATCAAACTTAAAGGTTAGTGATGTTTCAATCTAAAAACAAGAGTCAAGAAAATTAAAGAAAATACATCAATGTTAGCCAATTGGAAAATAAATTTCACTTACCATGTTCAGTGCTAATGGAATTACATATAATGACTAATGGTCGGAACATTTTTTTTGTCCAGGACTAACAAATTTCTATGAATAGAAAAGGTACTTTAAACAAATACTTTTATGATTAATGTTACTAATTTTTTATTATAAGAAATGTGCAAAAGTTTAAAAGAAAGATACATATAAATTTTAGTTTAAAAATAAATTAACTTAACTTAATTTAACTTGAAAAATTAATTGCAACAATCAAAAAGAGGATCAAACATAAATAAATCACATAAAATTCGGTCAAACATAAATTGGTCCGAGAAAGTTTGTCATGTTGAGTGGAAGCCATGCGATTGGGGAATAACTGCTGATTTGGGCAAAAGTGATAACACCGCGAAAGATGAAGTGAAGGTCCCAACTCCCAACCGCATTCACATTCAAGAAATCCAGATATGAGATACCTATTTTCTATCCCTTTAGCCAAAAGCTGTTGTTATTATTGGAATTAATCCCTCTTTATTACTATGTCATCTTTGCCCATTCCTAAATTCATTTCTCCAGTAGACTTATAATTCACAAAAATGGGTGCTTCTAAATCAGTTCCACAGAAATCAATCCACGAATTCACCGTCAAGGTCATCCCTTTATAATGGTTTCTTTAAGCTTTTTTTTTCTTCTTTTTCTTATCATTGCTCTATTTTTCTTTATTTTTGATGGGTTGTGTTTATTTGTTATCCTATATTCCAGGACATTAGAGGGAAAGATGTAGACCTTAGCATGTACAAAGGCAAAGTGCTTCTTGTCGTTAATGTTGCCTCCAAATGGTTCTTTCTTCTTCTCTTCTCTTGTTCAGTTCTTGTTTTTTTATTCTTTTTCATTTTGTTGATAACCCCGTCCAGTAACTCTGTCCACCAAAAAGACTTAGAGAGATGAGAAGAAATATCTAGTGTCCGGCCAGCTTGCGTGTAGCTCGACTACTTTTTCTTTTTCATTTTTCAATTCAAATGTTCAACTTTAAGCTATTTTTCACTGGTTCTCTGTTTCTTTGCCATGACAATTTTGATGGTACTACTTGTGCGTATGGTGATAGTGTTTTTTTCTTCTTGTTTGAAACAGTGGGTTCACAAGCACCAATTATACCCAATTGACTCAACTCTATAACCAATACAAGGATAAAGGTGGGTGCTCTGCTTAATGTTTTGGTCTGTTTCTTTTCTGTGCTCTTATGTTCTTTCAGCATTTTGTTTCTCTCAGGTTTGCTCACTCTTGCTAGAAATATATCGGTGCCTCTGTACAGACTCTTAATGTATATATTTTAATTGAGTTTTCAGGTTTTGAGGTCTTG